GAGGAAGTGCTATTCCTAGTTGTCTGAGACAGCGCCAGCTCTTAATGGCTATCTGATCCAGGCAAGAACTGCAACCTCAACAGCAGGGTACCTCCAACAATTCCCCTCTAAAGGTCTCAAATTATTTAACTGTGCTTTCCTGTATTTCTTGAAGAATTTTATTTCTTTCCTCTGTAATCATTTTCATAAGTATAGATTTCATGTCATCTCTTGTGTTCCAGGTGTGTTAGGGTATCCTGAGTTGCTTTCCATGGGATAACTGGGTTCAGGGAACTCCATATTTCTCTGGATTTTCTTGATTGTGTTTTTATGCTGGCCATTCAGCCATTTGGTTGTGCCTGTTATTATTTATTTGAATGTGTTGCTTTTTGGACTTCTCATGGGTGTGGAAAGAGTCTTGGGCAGGAGCTGGATGTTCTTGCAAGAGCCCTCTTCAGACTGATGGAAATTGTCCCTGTGTAAGGAAGTTCTCAGGTAGTTGCCTGTCACTGTCCTCAGATGTATGATCCTGGGGAGCAAGTGGACTCCTCAGAGCCCAGGGACCTCATTTCACCAAGGAAAGTCATGAAATCAGTTGCCTTTCTACTGGCTTTCTTGCTCCCATGGTAGTGAGTCCACGACTTACTGGTATATGGTAGAGTGGATTTGAAATATAAGCAAAAAGTGATTTATTAGTGTCACAACTGTTGTGCTACCGTTGCACAAGTGAGTATATCTTGCCAGGTATGGTGGTACTAATGTCTGTAGGGTCCACAGCTAAGAAAGACCATTGGTGCCTTCTTTTTCACTTATCACACAACACAGCAGCCTCTTCCCGTACTATGAAAGCCAGCTGACAGGGAGGAGGCTTCAGACATAGCGCTAGCCTCATGTTTTTACATATTCAGCAAAAAAATGTGCATGATGTCTTTAGCTATTCAAACCTTTTCATTCCAGGTATTCCTTATCTCTACTGTCATATTTTCAGTGTTTTTCGATTTACTCTCCCTTAAGGCAACCACTTCCCAATAGTCTTTTTGTAGACCTCTAGCCTTTCCAGGAATTCTAAGAGGAATGCATACAATTAGAGACTGGAGTCCAAGATACATGTATAGGAGAAACCATTTGTCCAACCACTTTTTTCCTTTCTCTCCCTCCCTCCTTTCTTCTCTCTCTCTTTCTCTTTGTCTGTCTCCATTTCTCTTTCTCTTTATTATTTAGAGTTCTTTGTGTTTTAGATATTAATCCCTCATTGGATGTTGTAAGCATTTATGTCTATAAACTGCCTCTGTCATATATCTGGTGTTATGGTACAATTCTAGGAACATAAAGTTTTATACATTACTTTGACTTTCTAATCAGTTAAATGTAAGTGTTCAATCTCCATAGGTCTGTACAGTTTTAAATAGTCTTTTTGGTTTCTTTTTTGTTATGATTTGGTAAAACACAGGAAAATATCATCTTTATTTTTGCTAAGACTTACTTTGTACACTAAACTGTGACCTATCTTAGGGAAATTATATGAGCTCCTGATAAGGCCATTTTCCTAGGGTGATTCTTTCTGTGTTATATGCAAATATGGAGAGTCATAAGTCTCCTACAGACCTGATTTACTGGTATGGGTACTAGCCTTTATGAGCCATCTAATGGTGGTGCATTTGTAAGCATCTGTCCCCAGGTCCTGAACTGTGACTCTCTTTCCATTTAGGGAAATAAACAGTGGCAATCTCAGCTAACTACTTCCTTACTGTCAAAAGCATTTAAGTCTCAGGAAGATGACATGCTTCACTGAGGATGATTCAATGCTGTGTGCTTCTCAGAGAAAAGCTGGGAGTAGTTAAAGGCTTTGTTTTATCATTCTCATTTATTCTTTCTCCTCCAAATAAAAAGAAAGTTTTCTGGACCAAAGAGAACATTTTTTTCTTTTCTGAACTCTTCTGTTATTTCTTTTAGCAGGTTCTAGATCCTTGAATGATTCTGGGTTTTCTTTTATACTGTAGTCAATTTCCTGGAACATACCAAGTGATAATCATGGCCCCTGTAAAAGCCATCATTGATATTGTTTAGTGTTTTAGAACTTAAACTTCAGACTCCTTTTCTTACAGATAATATTTATTCCAAGTACCATTGCCCTGTCCTTTAGAACAAAGATGTTCCTAGCATGTGAAGAACAATGGCAATTTCCAAAGTTAATAAAACAAAATGGTGACATTGAAGGTAAAGTCAAGAATTTAGAGATATTTTTGGGAATGTTGAGTGGTTCTGATATTCCTTAAGCTAGAGATTCCTTCTCTGTGGGGACCACTTGTGAAAGAAATCTCATGTTATTTTATTCAGGCTCTGAGACTTCAGCATGATAGTCTACCAAAAGGAAAAGTACAAGCAACCTTTCCATCCTCTTGTGTGTACATGCTATAATTGTCCAGAGTCTTGTCCTCCATTAAAGTCAATCAAGAATTAAAAAAAAAACCCTAAAACTAAAACTTAATCTGTATACCTAAAGAAGCTAAGCAAGAAGAAGGACCCTAGGAAAGTTGCTCAATCCTCATTCAGAAAGGCAAATGGAATAGATATCAGAAGCAGGAGAAAACAGGGAAAGGAACATCAACCTGCCTCAGAGGCCCTCTGAAAGACTATGCCCAGAAGGTTATCAAAGTAGATGCTGAGATACATAGCCAAACTTTGGGCAGAGTGCAGAGTGAAAGAAGTGGAAAATAAAAAGATCTGGAGGGGATAGGAGCTCCAGAAGAAGAAAACAGAGCCAAGAAATCTGGGTCACAACGGTCATTGCAGAGATCAATACTCCAACCAAGGACCATGTATGTAGAGAACCTAGACCCTTTGCTTAGATTTTCACCGTGGCAACTCAGTTTCCAAGTGGGTGCTATAGTAAGGGGAATAGGGACTGTCTCTGACATGATCTCAGTGGCTGGCTCTTTGATCACTTCCCTATGGGATGGGCAGGGGCAGCTTTATCAGGCCACAGTGGAAGAGAATGCAGCCAGTCCTGATGAGATCTCAAAGGTTAGGGTCAGCTGGAAGGGGAGGAGGTCCTCACCTCTCAGTTGACTAGGTGAGGGGCAGAGGAAGAGAAGATAGATGGAGGGTGGGCCTGGGAGGAAAACAGGGAGGGCACTACAGCTGGGTACAAAGTAAATAAATTGTTATAAATAAATAAAAAATATAATAAATTGTATCCAAAAAATAATTTAAAAAACAAAAAATAATGTATTATTTCTAATATATTCAGCAATGATTTATTAATAAACCTCAGAGAATCAGAAGCAATCACAGCAGATTAAAATATAAGACAGAGGTTCTCTCTGCCTTTCTCTCAGTGTGTGTGTATGTGGACACATGCAAGTACATGACCCTCTGCCTATGCACATGCATGTGCTTGTGCCTTTGCTTGTGTGTGTGCTATACATAAATGATTCTGTGTAATGTGCCTTTTAGAAATTCTCAGAGAAACTTTAGTTGTTCTGACCCCCAGGAAATCATAACAGTTATTCACATAAGTGAGCTGTGAGTGACTGTGAGTCTTCATAACAACCTAAATAACAACATGCCTTGGGCAGGTGTAAATTTAGTTCCTATCTTGCCATGGTAAGCAGTCCTGTAGTTATCTTTATAGGTAAGTCCAAATATATACCACTACGTGCCATGTATCATGGAAGTCCTGAAGGGTCTCGGATAAGGCCAAAGGCCATGAGCCATCTTTCTGATGGGGAAATGCTATTCTCTATAGTTCACAGAAAAGAATCAAACCCAGGCAGGAGATATGACTTGTCTCTGGGAACAGGGTTGTCAGAGTTATCAAAGACAATGCTGAAATGAAAACCCACAAATAACTTGAATTTCCTTCCCTTTGTTCATAGGAGAAATACACCTAAAGCACAAGAATGCCTATGGTCTGATGTACCACAGAATACCAGTGAGTTGAAGTAGAACACACAGGACACCAGCTGTAAAAATTGAGTAACAATTGTAAAAACAGAGATTAAAATACTGTCTTCAATCAAGAAATAGAGCTTAGTGAGGAACCCCCCCCCCCCAATTACTGCATCTGTCAGATGTTACTGAAACTGGAAAAAGAGGAGGGCCTTCTGAGTCACAGCAGTGAAGCAGTGATGATGTCCAGGAACATGGTATTTCCTATCTTGTTCTGGTCAAGCCAGTTAGACACAGAGTTGCATTTGCTTGGGAATTTCTTGGCCCTGCCCACTTCCATACAATTCTACTCCCACTCAGCTGAGCAGCCAGTCCTATAAAGAGGTCCTTGGCTGCATGACTGCAGACTGCTGGTCCTCAGTTCCTGGACTACTTTGGAGAAACTGGTGAGTGCCATTTCTTGAGATGATCTGTCTGTATGGTCTTCTTATGTGTTGTAGTTAATTGTGAGGAAGTAAGTGTTGTGAGTCCAGTTTTGATCATGGGATAAATGGTGCCCACGAGGTAGTCAGAAATTTAGCAATGGACACTATAGTCCACTGTGACAAGTGGTTTTCCTTCTTTATGGTAGGTGGTTGAACAGAGTACCTTTCTCTTTCTTATGTATCTCTTGGTGTTCTCTGAAAACTCCTGAATTTCATCAGGTGTTATATACTGCGATTTTCCTCATCTTTCTTTTACTGTCCAACAGCAGACAACCTTCTGTGTGATACAGGTAAGATGAAGGGGACAGGAATATGTTTTGAGATTTCCAGGGCACCAGAACTTGAGATTGCCTGTCTTGAAGGAATTTTTTGTATAAACAGTATGAATTGTTTCCTTGGAAGAAAATATGTTGTCCAGAAAAAAAAGTGTATAAAACAAGAAAGATTTTTCCAAGATTAATGCAACAGATTACTGGTAGGAAAGGGTAAATACAAGAAGTCCTAAAACAGGAGGAGTTGGAGAATCATATTCATGCCTGGAGAGAAAAATTAATCTGAAGTTTCAAGGCTCCATCAATCTTCTCTGTGTTGATAACTCCTGAACACTCTCACGTAATGTCTTTCAGATCCTGAGACTTCACCACGATGTCTTACCAACAGCAGCAGTGCAAGCAGCCCTGCCAGCCTCCTCCTGTGTGCCCACCCCCAAAGTGCCCTGAGCCTTGTCCTCCAAAGTGCCCTGAGCCTTGTCCTCCTCCAAAGTGCCCAGAGCCTTGTCCTCCTCCAAAGTGCCCCGAGCCTTGCCCTCCTCCCCCATGCCAGCAGAAATGTCCTCCTGTGCAACCTTCTCCACCATGTCAGCAGAAGTGCCCACCCAAGAGCAAGTGAGGGATGGTTTCAGCAGCATCGGGAACAAGAGAAGAGAAGTGAATGTCTCTCTTCTACCTCCAGAGCAACATGCCCATCTTTTCTTCAACATCTGTCATGGATGCAGAAGAATATTCTCCACCCTTCAGCCATCTCCATATGCCAGTGATGATCTCTGACAGGAAATAAATTGACTTGTCCCCCTATATTCTTCCTTTTGTCAAGATGCTGCTGAGAATGGGTCTTCTTCAGTGGCCTAATCGGACAAGTTTCAAAAATCTGTGATTTGGGCAGACTATTTTCAGTGTTGTTTCATTTTCTGAATAAATTACTTTGTTGTTGATGGTATTCATTCATGTTCACTTTCTTGAAAAGTCTCATTAGGATATTTTCTTGTTCTTTGATTTCTATCCTTTGCCCTATTTGAAAGTCTGCTGTAAGCCTCTTTTGACTGAATTTGGATCATATCATAGTATAGTTATTTTCCAAGTTATGGTTATTTTTGATATGAAACACCATGCCCCAAATACATTGGATGGAAAGTGTTATTGGATTTATTTACACTTCCATATCTATAATCAATCAGTGAAACAAGACAGGAAAGGAACTGAAACAGGGAGAGCACCTGGAGGCAGGAGCTGATGCAGAGGCTATGGAGGAGTGCTGCTTCCTGGCTTCTGCACATGCTTGCTCAGCCTGCTTTCTTCCAGAATTCATGACCAGCCTAGAAGTTATGGTATGCATAGTTGGATTTGCTCTACCCCCTTATTTGAGTCATAGATGTTCAGAATTGAGATGTCTTCTTGTTGGAATTTTCTTTTGATTGAGCATGATGTGCCCTTCCTCTTGTCTTTTGACTGATTTTTGGTGAAAGTCTATTTTATTAGATATTAGAATAGATAATCCAGCTTGCTTCTTGGGTTTATTTCCTTAATTTTTTTTTCAACCCTTTACTCTCAGGTATTATCTTTCTTTGTGGCTGAGGTGCATTTCTGTTTGCAGCAGAATGATGGGTCATGTTTAAGCAGCCATTCTTTTAATTTCTGTCTTTTTGTTGGATAGTTGAGTCCATTGATGTTGAGAGAGATTAATGATCAGTGACTGTAGTTCCTTTTTTGTGTTGGTTGAGATAGTGTGATTGTATACTTGTCTACTTTTCGTTTTTCTGTAGTAAAGTTATTTATGTCTTATGTTTTTTTGGATGTAGTTAATCTCCTCAGGTGGCAGTTTTCTTTCTCTTATCTTCTGTAGGCTTGTGTTTCTGCATAAAGATATTTAAATTTTGTTTTGTCATGGAATATTTTTGTTTTCTCCATCTATGGTGGTTGAAAATTTTGCTGATTATGGTTGTCTGGCCTGACATCTGTGGTCTCTTAACGTTTGCAAAATGTCTGCTTCAACCTTTCTGGCTTTTATGGTTTCTGCTGAGAAATCAGGTATGATTCTCATAGGTTTAGCATTATATGTTACTTGGCCTTTTTCCCTTGCTGCTTTCAATATTGTTCTTTGTTCTGTACATTTATTGTTTTGATTATGTGGCAGGATTTTCTTCCTGGCCTAATCTATTTGGTGTTCTGTAGGCCTCTTCTATGTTTATAGGCATCTCTTCCTTAAGATTGGGGAAATTTTCATTCATGATTTTGTTGAAACTATTTTCTGGTCCTTGGAGCTGGGAATCTTCTCTTTCTTCCATTCTTGTCATTCTTAAGTTTCTTCTTTTTATGGTGTCTTTGATTTATTGGGTGTTTTGTATCAGGAATCTTTTTGATTTTACATTTTCTTTGAGCGATGTGTTGATTTTTTTCCATGTTGTTTTCTACACCTGACTTCTTTCCTCCATCTCTTTTATTCTGTTGGTGATGCTTACCTCCTTAGTTACTACTTCATCCCTTATGTTCTCCTTCTCCAGGAGTTCTTCAGTTTGTGCTCTTTATTTGTATTCCCATCTTCAGATCTTGAACAGTTTTATTGATTTCCTTCACTTGTTTGTATTTGCCTTCATTTCTTTAAATGGTTTGTTCATTTCATTCACCTATTTGTACTTTCTTGTATTTCTTTCAGTGATTTATTTATTTCCCCGTTGGTTTTCCTCCTGCCTGGAAACTACTTCCAAGCAGGCCACAAAGTCAAGAGGGGCAGGAGATGAGAAGTGTGCCTGGAATTGCTGGCAGTGAGAACCATACAGGGATTACACAGGTCAGAAACAGCTGATGGCTAGTTCAACTTTAATTCTAGAGAACAAAGGTCATATACCCTTAGGAGTGGGTGTGGGGCAGCAAGAATAGGTGTACATAATTGGTTGGAATTAAGCACTTCAAGATTGTTTGATTTGCATTATTCAGCATGCTCCTATCATAAGAGTAGAATGTTAGTACCCAATTAGTATAGAGCAACAGGGAAGGGAGAGCTAGCAGTGATCTCTGTCAGAGGCCAAACATCAAGTGTGGTTAGGGGAGTCTGTTTCTAAAGATACTCTCCAGATGAAGTCCAGCAGAGAATAGGGGACCCTGCCACTATGAGGGAGTTCTGCCTTTTGTGTGGTGCTCTTAATGGTTATCTGATCCAGGCAAGAACTGCAACTCAACAGCAGGGTACCTCCAACATTTCCCCTCTAAAGGTCTCAAATTTAACTGTGATTTCCTGTATTTCTTGAAGAATTTTATTCCTTTCCTCTGTTATCATTTTCATAAGTATAGATTTCATGTCATCTCTTGTGTTCCAGGTGTGTTAGGGTATCCTGAGTTGCTTTCCATGGGATAACTAGGTTCAGGGAACTCCATATTGCTCTGGATTTTCTTGATTGTGTTTTTATGCTGGCCATTTAGCCATTTGGTTGTGCCTGTCATTATTTATTTGAATGTGTTGCGTTTTGGACTTCTCATGGGTGTGGAAAGAGTCCTGGGCAGGAGCTGGATGTTCTTGCAGGAGCCCTCTTCAGACTGATGGAAATTGTCCCTGTGTAAGGAAGTTCTCAGGTAGTTGCCTGTCACTGTCCTCAGATGTATGATCCTGGGGAGCAAGTGGACTCCTCAGGGCTCAGGGAACTCATTTCACCAAGGAAAGTCATGAAATTAGTTGCCTTTCTACTGGCTTTCTTGCTCCCATGTTAATGAGTCCAGACACTGTGCTCAGACACTGTGCTTACTGTTTGTGACCATTCAAGAGAATCTGTGAGCTCACAGGTCTTACTGGTTTTCTTAGGGAGAGGGGTTAGCTTTGGAGCAGTGGCAGCTAGTGCTGCTTCCATGGGTCCTGAGTGTGAGGAGGCCCAAGGTTGAAGCTGCATGCCAGGAAGGTGAGAATGGGCACCTGAGTTTGGAGCCATATCTTCAGTACTGGAAGGTATCCACTCCTTGAGACAGTGAAAGTGGGCGCCATAGGTTGCAGCCACAAGCTGTTGGTATCCAGAAGGTATACCAAGGAGAGTGAGAATGGGTGCCCAAGGTTGGAACCTCTAACTGCCGGTACCCAGAAGGTATCCACAGGCGGTCGAATTGGGTGAGTTGTCTGAGGCCTCCAGCACTATTGGGAGCCCTCGAACTTTTCCTGGATTAGCTGGGTAACCTGAGGTTGGACCAGTGTGTTTGCCGCACCATAGACTCTCCTTTCACCTGGAAAACACAGAAGTTGGTGTTTGGGGGTCCATAGCATGGGCTCTTGGTGTCTCTGCTCTCACTGCTGTCCTGCTGTTCAGATACTGCACACCACTGACTCCTCCATCTTGGATTGCAATCTCAACCAGTCTTTTAAATCTACTGTGAATGAGGTTGTGTTTCCAATTTCCTTTTCAACGAATTCATTATTAGTTCATTAAAAAGCTACTACAGAGGTCCTGGAGCAATGGTTCAGCCGTTTAGAATAGTTGCTGCTCTTGCAGAGGCATGAGTTTTCACACTGTGGCTCACAACCACCCCCAAGTCCAGTTTCAGGAGACCTGACGCTTTCTTTCCTCAGTGGGCAGCAGCCGCGCATGGTGCATGTAAACACAGGCAAGAAGACCCTCATTTACATCCCCAGGTCTGATGGCAGGGGCTTGAAACGCAGAGACTCAGACGGTGAGAAAGGAGGAGTGCAGCTCAAGGCCTACGTGGACTACAGTGAGGTAAATCTGAGCTTGTTCAAATCAGAGATACCATTTCTATAATGATAAACTAGTGGGTGTCAAGCTCAGTAGTTCTTTACCTGCATGAGGCCCTGGGTTCAACTCAAATACAACAAAAAATTAGTATGTAGTAAGTAAGTAGGTAAAAAAAAATACCGATATTAAGGAATTCAGTCTTAGTAGAGTAAACTCAGTCAATAACCCATGGATGACAAAGTCATAAGTCTAGGAGGTTAACGTTCTACTTATGGGTTGCTTATTTAAATTGACATGCTGCTTTGCTGTCTCCTAAATATTTTTGATTCTATTCATAGACAAATATACTCCCAGCCTTAATCAGAGCAATATCTCTTAGTAAGGAGTGGGTGTGAATGCATATACCAAAGACAGATGGCTTCTCACGGTGCTGTGAATAAGTGAATAAGTGAATAAGTTTAGTGCTCAACTCTAAGGAGGACATTACCTTGCACTCTCTTACCCTTAGGGGATGTTGTTGAGGAAGGGGTAGAGAGACTAAAAGAGCCAGGAGGTAGTAAGAAGCACTGTGAAATGTTGTCTTGTGGGAATGGTATAGTCAAGGCAGTCATGGTCTCAGAGCAACTTTGGCAGTTTATAATGCGCTTGCACAAGGTGGGCTGTTAACACTCAGGCTTTGATTTCAGAGGGAGCGAAAAAGGACTTACCACTGTCTGCTGAATTACTACCTACTGCTAATTTTAGAAGAAGGTCATTGTCTTCAGATGTGTCGACACTGACCAGCCAAATAGCCTCCAGTGTATAGTTGTGTGGATACAATAAAAAAGAATGGATGTTGAAAACATGAACTTAATGGCTGGCACTTTAACCTCCGCCACCCTCCAAGGGAGGAGCAGCCTTGCTAGGCCACAAAGGAGGACATTGCAGCCAGTCCTGAAGATAC